CCAGGTACTTGTATCACCGTAGTAAGAAGCAGTCAGGGGCAGAAACGGTGTAGTAAGAAGAAGTCTGTGAGAGCCAGGTACTTGTATCACCGTAGTAGGAAGCAGTCAGGGGCAGAAACGGTGCAGTAAGAAGAAGTCTGTGAGTCAGAGCCAGGTACTTGTATCAGTTACAGGAGACCTTGCCCGTCTTCCAACCGTATATCCAACCGCAAACTCCCATCATTTTTTTCCCTGCGCAACTTACCACCTCAATCATTCCGCCCTCTCACATCTAATCTTATTCTTTTTGGGTAAATAATGAAATTGATGAATCCAAATATTCATAAAAAACAATTCTTTTCAAAAGGGATTAGAACATCAAAATAATAGAATGGCGAAGGTGACAAACTGTGCAATATGTTTTGGGGGAAATATCACCTATGGAAAGACGGGCAAGGCTATGTTCATTTGTAAAAAAACCTCTTTTTTTGTAGAAATATTATGGGCAAGGTTAGAAAGATAGAATATAAAGTAAACTCTATCCATTCATCATCTACAACTACAATTGCACCGCTTACAAAATGGGATGATATTTTCTAATGTATGCGTGTATTCATTATCCTTGCGTTGTGCTGTTAGATTGGTAGTGATATTACCATTTCTCTTTTTCGTGTCTTCTTTTTTGATAATATAATCTATTGTATAACGCGAGTTGCTCCTTAATTTGTTCCAAAGTCATATCTTCGGGTTTAATACTCATTATATTATATATTATATTATATTATAGATTTCTTAATACATTTTACAGTATTTTTAAACAAGATATTTTGTCTTTTAATATTGTTGTTAAATAATTCTTCTTTTAGATATTCTACACGAGTAATAAGTTTTGATAAAGCATCCCAACTAATACAAGTCATACGATCACAACACATTGTTAAGTATTCTCATGTATCATTTACAATATTATATTTAGGATTTGTGTATCGTTGGACGTCTTGGGCAATCCATCCTAATTCAGTGTTTCTGGTTTTTTGGTTTTTAACAAATGTTTTAATCTTAATGTGTTTTTACCATATTTATAGTGTCATCTTCTACATTTTCTGTATTATCTTTCAGTCTTTTATCACTACTTAGATTGAATCCGTTTAATGATGAAAATTGAGTATCATCTAATTGTAAATATTTAGTGCCATCAATATAACTATCAATAGATGTAGCTTCTGTTCTCAAAACAGCATCGCTATTTAAATGTCTCAAATTGATTTTATGTGCGATTTCAAAAGTCATATCGCCGTCAATAGTCCAATTGCCGCGTAATTCGCTATTACTTCCACTATTCAAAATAATTTGATTATCAGCATATGTTGTAGATAATCCAACAACCAAGTTAATAGAATTTGAAGTGTTGCTATTCCTGATTATTAAATCATTTGTATCAAGATACATTTCAGCATTATTAATTATTAGTTTTGATGAGTCGCCAAATTGAACATTGCCACTCGGTGAATTTTGCAATAATAAAGTATTTCCTGATACTGACTGAACTTGGTTGACTGCAACTTTCTTACCAGAAGCCATTGTCAAATCGCCATTTGTATATACATCACCTAACACATCAACTGGTTTATTGAATATGGTTTTGATACAGCACCATCACACATAAAATATGGATTAGAAAAAGTACTAACATCACCAACACTAACAGCAACAAAGTTATTATGTGCCATATACACACCTTCTGTAGCATCTGGTGTATATCTTCGTATTGAACCATTATTATTAAAATTCAAAAATGAACCATTATTAAGACTTATTGCATTGTCAGTGCCTACAAACTGAACAGCACCGGTAAATCTCGCTTGTCCATCACAGTTTAAAACATAATTGGCAACACCAACAGCACCTAAACCAAACGTATCCTTAACCCATACACGACCCTCCTGGAGGTGGTTTTCCTGGGCGCTTTTGAAGGGATTCCCTTCTCCTCCTCCACCTGGCCCACCGGAGGTCCTCCCCGGGGTTTGGTGGAGAAGTTCCTGGATGGCTAGGTGGAGTGCTAGCCCAACAAGAAAGTGTGCGATTGGTGGAGCTGCCGATGCTGCCGGAGTTGTCGGAGTTGGAGGTGGGTCCATTGGTGGCGTGAGATTGGCTCACCATGGTCACAGTTCATGAGTGACCTCAGCTCGTCATCGTCGCTCTGGTTGCAAAGTTGCCAGGCGGGGCGTTGCCGGAATCACTGAAGACGGAGTCCCAACGGGAGATGGATTGTGTGCACATTGTGTGCAAGATCCTTCGGGTATATCAGCCTGGCAGACTTGGGGAACGCACTTGGGGAACGCACCGCGCTGCTGAAGCAGGTGAACCAGAAGGTTCCTCAGAGCATGATGGAGTGGATGATGTCGTTGAGGAACTGGAGAAGATGGCTGGTCCGGATTGCGGAACTCAGGATTCAGCCACCGGACCCGGTCGTTGGACAAGTATTCCGGGGTTCTGGCGAAGAACTCGCCGCAGGTGTCGTTCCGGTTGAAGATAGCACGGGCGGCTCTGCGGGTGGATATTGCTCCTACACCGGCCGCGGTGCAACAATTCGCAGAAGCTCTTCAAGCTGAAGGAGAAGCGGTGTATCATGGAGGTGCAACGCTACCCCTCAAGGAGAATATGAAGCTGAAGGCGGTGGACGCCAAGGACGGCAAGGTCAAATCTCCAGAGAAGGAGATGAAGCCGGCCATGGACAAGCCCAAGGAGAAGTTGGAGGGCGCATGTCTGGTGGAAACGACGGCGTGCCGGTACTTTCTCTTGGAGCAGGGCTGTAAAAAGGGGAAGGCGTGTGGTTTTTCCCATGAGTGGGGAGAGGAAGGAAAGATGGGTGCTGGAATTGCGGGAGTACCCAGCACATGAAGCCGGACTGCCCGTGAAAGAGCAGCAGAATCCCCGTGCGCGAAAAGAGGTGAAGCCTGAGTCTGAGGCCCGGAGGTGAGCGTGGAGCTGGAGGAAGCACTACGTTGCCGGGTTCGGCTATGGCATCTACGGGATCGGGCAAGGAGGGCTCGAGTGGTGAGCTCATCTCTTGCGGTCATTGAAGCCGAGCGCAAAGGCGGTAAAGGTGAGTTCACTCAAGGAAGCTGGAGGGGGGCGGGCTTTGCTGTATGGTGGGGCCACGCATATCCTTCGTCCGGCTTTCACGATCAGGAGTACGACGAGGCTGTGAGTTGGCTGCGAAGCAGTCCTACGGCAGGACCCAGCAACGGGCACGCTGCTCACCAACTTCCCAACGCAGGTCATTCCCTTGGGCAAGGTGGTCAGGATGGGCTACAAGGTGACCTGGGAGAACGATATGTTTGAGATGTGCGATGGGAATGGAAGAAAGGTGGAGGTGGAGCTACAATCGGGGTGTCCGACGGTAGCAATGGAAACGGACTGGCGGTTGATTGAAGGCCTAGAAAAGGAGGAGACGGAGATGGAGAGGAGATGCCGCACTCTTCGAGCTGGAGATCCGGGTGACCTTGATCCCAGAGTGTATGGTTGAGAGACTTGCAAGAAATGTGGCCGGAGGTGCCGGATGATTTTTTGTTGGTGAGAGTCATTCCCACGAAAAAATGGGATGGGTCCTCTCTTCCTTCGAATAGGAGAGGAGCGGTTCCGGACGTGCGACTCAGTGATTGTCCACCTGTTCTTGGGCCCGGATCAGTCGTGGTGGAAGAGGCAGTTGGGGGCTCAGAAGGAATTGGCCTCCGCACGCAGGAGTATAAGGATCATGACTATCCGTCCTTCTTTGCGTGGCCGGAGTGGGAGGCCTTCAAGAAGAGGTGTGCCACGGAGGAGATCCGGCAAGGTCGGCTTTCAGCTGGAGGCGTTTGGGTATGTGACCCCAAGCTGCTCTCCTACAACCAGGAGGTGATGGTCAAGACAAAGTCCTGATTTCCAAGCTTGTAGGAGGAGAGGATGGGTCCGAGGCCTTGATGCGTCAATGTTGCTGAAGTCGGGAGGACATGTGGTGGAAAGCGAGGAGGGCAAGTTTGTTAGAGTGGTCCCTTGGAGCAGCCAGAAGGAAAGGATGGTGGCCCAGAAGGGAAGTCAGAGGCAGTTAACGGTGCAGTCAAAAGCTCTCTGCAAGTCAGAGCCAGATACTTGTAATACCGTAGTAAGAGGCAGTCAAAGACTGAAAGCGGTGTACTGTAAGCCAAAGCCAGATACGTGAAACACGTAGTAGCAGCCTGTAAGTCAGAGCCAGATATGTATAAGGGGTCAGGGGCAGTAACCAGCAGTCTGTAAGTCTCACAGTAGTGACAAGCAGTCAGGGGAAGAAAGCAGTGCAGCAACAGGCAGTCTGTAAGTCAGAGCTAGGTACTTGTAACACTGTAGACACAAGCAGTCAGGGGCAGAAAGCCGCGCAGTAACAAGCAGTCTGTAAGTCAGCTCCAGGTACTTGTAACGCCGTAGTGACAAGCAGCCAGGGACAGAAAACGTTCCAGTAAGAAGCAGCCTGGAAGTCAGAGTAACAAGCAGTCAGGGGCAGAAAGCCGGCGCAGCAACAAGCAGTCTGTAAGTCAGAGCCAGATGCTCGTAACACTGTAGCAACAAGAGGGCAGAAAACATTGTAGTAACAAGCAGTCTGAAAGTCGGAGCCAGACACTTGTAACAGTGTAGTAACAAGCAATCAGGGGAGCAGAGACGGTGCAGTAACAAGCAGTCTCTGACTTGATACTTGTAACACCGAAGCAACAAGCAGCCAGGGGCAGAGAAAGGTGTAGTAACAAGCAGTCTGTAAGTCGCAGCCAGATGCTTGTAACACCGTAGTAACAAACAGTCAGGGGCAGAGGGCGGTGCAGTAACACGCAGTCTGCGAGGCAGAGCGAGATACTTACAACTAGTGACAAGCAGTCGACAGCAGAGAGCGGTGCAGTAAAAAAGCAGTCCGACTTACACCCTGGAAAGGAGCTTTTCAGAACCAATCAACCAAAGATCTTCAGATTTGCAGCTGCGATATCAAGTTTGGTATGATCCCACACAATCAATTTATCAGCGACCGGCCAAGCCTAAGTCTTAGATTTCAGCTGCTCTGGACAGGAGCCAAATGGAAGCCTAGACTTTAGATAAAGCCAGACACGTGAAACACCCTGTAAGTCAGAGCCAGATATGTATAACACTGTAGTAAGAAGCAGTCAGCTGCAGAAAGCGGCGTAGTGAAAAGCAGTCTGCAAGTCAGCGCCAGGAACTTGCAACAGCGTAGTAAGAAGGAGTGAGAGGCAGAAAGCGGTGTAGTGAAAAGCAGTCTGTGAGTCAGAGCCAGATACGTGTAACGCCGTAGTAAGAAGAAGTCCAAGGCAGAGAACGGTGTAGTATAGAGCAGTCTGCAAGTCAGAGCCAGAACGTGTAGCAACGTAGTCACAATCAGTCAGAGGCAGAGAACGGCGAGAACGGTGCAGCAAAAAACAGTCTGTAAGTCAGAGCCAGACACGTAACGCCGTAGTAACAGGCAGTCAGAGGCAGAGAGCGGTGTTGCAAAAAGCAGTCTGTCAGTCAGAGCCAGACACGTGTAACGCCGTAGTAACAGGCAGTCAGAGGTAGAGAGCGCTGTAGTAAAAAGCAGCTTGTTAGTCAGAGCTAAGGTCAGAGGCAGAGAACTGCGACAGCGTTGTAGCAAACAGCTGTCTGTAAGTCAGAGCCAGACACGTGCAACACCGTAGTAAGGGGCAGTTAGAGGCAGCGAACGCTGTAGCGCGAAGCAGTTATTTGCGTTCCAAGGTTGCTTGCAATTACAGGGACCTAAGGAGGGTGCTGCAGGACACAACCCAGCTTCCGCCAGTAGGAAGCGGCGACCGGGGGAAAGAAGTAGTAAGGGTGTCGGCGGTAAAGTAGCCTTTTGCAAAGCCTTCGTAGTATTGCCCAGGCGTAGCCAGCTGCGGCCTCGGAATTGTGGTCTCTCAGTTTTTGCTCAAAGCTTTGGTTTGCTGCTGAGGTCCCCGGGCTGGCCCAGCTCAGTCAGGCCAGTCGTTGCTGGCTTGGGCGGAGAACAAGGGCTGGTGCAGCCCCGTCAGTCCGGCCGGGGCGTCAGAAGCAAAGAGCGAAAACGAGCGCAGAAGAGAACTAGAGAAAAATGCGAAGAAGGGAAAAAGAAGAAAGGACGAAGAAGAGCCCAGAAGACAACAAGAGCAAAGGGGCGGAGTAAAGAAGAAGAAGAAGAAGAAGACGGAGAAGAAGACGAAGAAGCAGAAGAAGAAGACGAAGAAGATCAAAAACAAGAAACAGTGGGAGGGGACAAAGAAGACGATAAGAAAAGCCGAGAAGAAGGAAAGGAACAAGAAGAAGAGGAAGAGACGAAGAGAAGAAGAAGAGCAGACGAAAACGAGAAAATGAAAAGACGACAAGAACAAAAGACGAGAAAGAGAGAAAAAGAGAAGGAGAAGAAGGTGGAGAAGAGGGGAACAAAAAGAAGAGGAGAAGAGGATAGGAGGAGAAGAGGAGAAGAAGAAGAGGAGCAGAGAAGAGGGGAAGACGGGAAGAAGGGAAAAGAGAAGAGCATTATAGAAGAGTGAAGGGGAAAATGCAAAATGTCACCACTTCAGGACAGCAAGCGATCCACCATGAGTAGCCGCGGCAAGTGGAGCCCAGTGGCAAACGCCAGGGCCTTTCAGCGGCAAGCGATATTTGGCCATTGGATTGCTGAAGGATCCTTATACCTACGCCTGTGGCAGTCCGACAATCAAGCGGCTCGACTGCAAGCAAACTCTTTGAAGAGAATTCAGCTTTGCCCAAGGAACCGCAGGAGCTACATGTCCTTGGAGCAACCTGGCTAATCTGGGCTGAGTGCACTCACAGCCTTTCAGGTCCTCTCCTCTCGCTCCGTGCGCACACCTTTCACCCACATGCCTCTCACGTGTTGTTGAGGGTATGTCGGCACGTTCTCATTCGCGACTCGCGAGGCAGCTCTTCGCGCTTTGCAAGGAGCTCAAGGCACACGGACCCTTTGCGTGTTTCGTAGTGTCGTATACGTTTCGTGGACATCTGGCATCCTTGCAGATCATGCCGGACTTCGTCAGCCGCCAAGCGGTGGTGCGAATCTTCAAGCGAGCGCAGTGGCCTGGCTGAACTTCGGCTTGCTTCATGCATGGACGTGAGTGATGCTTAGGTGTGCAGGTTCTGCCAGCGCTCATGGCGGCAGCAACTTTGGTTTCCTTTCGCAGGAGGCCTTCGCTTTCCGTTTTTTTTTGAGATGCCTTTTTATACGTTATGTTTCTTTTAGATGTTTTCGGAGTTGCTTTCGCTTCGGAATTGCCTTCGCATGCCGGATCTTGTCGGAACCAGCCCTGCGCCTCTTGGACTCGCAGCCGTTTTCACTCGAGAGCGTTACGGCACTGCCTCGGTCTCAGCTGGCTTGCGGCAAAGAGCTCGACCTTGCGCACGCTAGGACAAGAATGTTCATATGCTGTGTGGAGTCGTCTGCTGCACCTTGGAAGCTGGAATTGTTGTCTTTTGAGCTTGCCAGTGCTCGCCTCGACTTCCAAAGAGCAAGGAGGAGAAGGAGGTGCCAGCGACGAAGCTGGTGGCGAGCGATGAGGTGTGCTTGGAAACAGCAGGATTGAGGGCCTGGCCAGAAACATCAACCTACCGCGGTGCAACACGATGTTATCGAGAGGGCATTCTTGTTTGGCACGCACTTTCAATCGCCCAGCCTTCTCACAAGTTTGGGACGTTCGCTTTTAAGCCTGGTTGTCGCAGCTTCTTTGAAAATGGCCCCGATTTGTTGTGAAGGGTGTTGTTTCTTCAACTGGTGATCTATATTCTCGGAGTTCTCTTGTTCTGATTGTTTGGCCGGCAGGTGTTGCCACGCACAGCCCAAGAGCTGACACTGACAACAGCTGGCGCCAAGGAAGACAGCAGCAAGAGAGACAGAGAGAGAGAGAGACAGAGAGAGACAGGGAGAGACAGGGAGAGGGAGCGCGGGAACGCGGGAGATAGGGAGATGGGGTTGGCCAGTTGGGCGAAAAGTCAGAGAGACCTAGGAGCCTTGCCACACCTTCACCATGGACCTGATGCGAACTCCGGGTTCCAGCTTTGGCCCGGGCCCCCCGTGCCGTACCTCGCTTGTTGCCAGCTCTTTGAGAGGTGTAGACATTTCAGCAGCGGGCAAGGCCCTGCACGGTGCTGCGGGCAAAGGTGCTCCGACACTCGCCGCAGGTGTGCATGGTGAACGCCGTGCAGGAAGCAAGTCTAGTCGGGGAGTGGAACCGCAAGAGCTCGCCCGAGTCTTGCCCATGTTCCCATGCATCTCGCTGTTGCAAAGAGAGTCCTTGCGCTGTCTGCGACACCAATCTGAGGAAAACAGAATCCGACAGTATGACAGACTCATGTGCTTCAACGACGAGAAACCTTCCAAAGGCAGAGGGCAACGCAAGTTGGACCATCCTGCACTCTTCCTTTGAAGGCAAGGACATGCTCGAGAAGCTACGAGATGCTTCCGGCAACTGGACCGCGAATAGCCGATGCCCGGAATTGACTGCGCTTGGCATGTGATGGCTATTGCCAAAATTGCTGACAGGGACTTGCCCATCGCGTATGAGTGAGTTCACGCAAGGTCCGGTGTCCATCATTGTGCAGAGGCCAACCATCCAGAAGGCAGAGCGCTTGTGCCGCGCAATGAAGCTCTTGCCGTGAAGCCAACTGAAGCCATGAGACTTGGTTACCAGCTTTCATTTCCAGGTGAGTGTCACGAAGAACGGGAAGGAACTAGGGCTGGGCGTGATTGATGGCCAAAGCTTTCTTCTGGCCCCATGGCAGCACCCTCGCACCTTTTGAGTTGCAAGTGTGAACAGTGCAAAGAGACTGGGAGACGACTCCGCACCACTCCACCACTTCGCATTCATCGGAGGTCACGAGGATCGCAGATGGTGCTGTGAGTGCGCACAATGCCGCTGCTGGCCCAGATGACATCATCAAGATACCCAGCCGAATCGTGCGGCCAGGCTGCACCATGGGTGGCATGGAGAGGGAGGGAAGAGGAAGACTCCAGGAAGACGGGAGACAGAAGAAAAAGGGAGACGGGAGAAAAAGATGGAACAAGGCCTTGCGAAGCCGTTGCGAGCAAGGAGTGTTGATGGCAAGAAGGGCGGCGGCGCCGAGCTCCTGAAACACATGGAGTCCGCCGACAAGTTCACCGTGGAAATCCTCTGCTACGACTGAAGGGACCCGATCGAAACGTGACGCGTGCTGAGCCGTGCCAAGCCGTGCTATGCCTCGCGTCTCTTCGTTTAAATCATTTGCCACTGGCGCAGCTTCAATCCGGCGTCTGGATGTCCAACATGCCCTGGGTATGCATCACCTGCAGGCAGCCTACAAAGGAGCTGTTTGACGGTGTGGGTCCGGTCGCCGTTTCACCTCTGGCTGTCTCAAATGCATTCGAAGGAACAGATAAATGTTCATCTACCCAGCCATTCCTCGACTAAATTCATGTTCATTGGTGGCCGGCATCCGACTTGTGAAGTTGCCTTTGAGCGCCCGGCGCGTGCTCCTAAGGGAGCGCATTGCAGAGCCTGGCGCTTTTTCCGGAAGAGGGAGACGGATCCGTGGAAATGAAAAGGCAATATATGCCATTTTCTCTGTCCAAAGCTTGGAGTACTTATCGAACTTCTCTCTTTTCCTCCCTCCTCCTCTTTTCCTCTTTCTTCCTTCCGTCTTCTTTCCTTTTTCTCAAGCTTGTCCTATTTGTCCTTTTCTTCTTTCTCGTGTTTGCCGTGCTCTCTTTCCTCGTTTCTTTGTTTGTTCCCTCCCGTTTTCTTGTGTCGTCTCATCTTTCGGTTTGCTTTTTTTGGCCAGGCCTTCGTGGATGCCATGGGACGCATCGCCATCCAGGCCTACTCCGAGGCGAGCAAAGAGCAGAAAAGAAACAGAAGACAGAAGAAAAGAAGGGAACACGCGCAGGCGCCGTACTGCGACGAGTACCCCGAGCCTCACGAAAAGGCGAGACACCAAAAAGGAGAATTGAAGAACACAATTCGATGAAGCAGAAATAGAGTGGCAAGTGCGAAAACTGACTGTGACCCTGCACACTCGCAAAGCTGCTGCGCAGATTATTGCCTTCCTGTGCGACAGACTTCCCGGAATCAGGCAGCGTGAAATGTGGAAGGCAGCCACTGCTTGCCCAACGCGCGAGGACCATGCGAGACCGCTTTCTCTACGGCTGCAGTGGTCGAGGCGAAGCAAAGAAGTGTCCTTTCTCTAAGCAAATCCTAAGTCGCAGAGACATTCGCGGAAACGTCCGATTGGAAGGCCCTCCAGTGCAGCCCGGCTACATCAGCAGGGCACTGAGACAGCAGGATGGAAACCCGAGAGGACCCAGAAAGCATTCATATCCTAAAGACTGAGGTCGGTGAGGTTCCGGTGGCACGTGAAGGGCTCATTTGGATCTTTCGCGTCTTTGTGCAGCGCGTCGGCTCTCACTCAGGCTTGGGTGCATGATATCACACATGTGCCGTTATCTTTTGTCAGCTCTCGTTGCCAATTTGCGCCGCACCCAAAGCTTTCGCCCAGAGGGCCTGAAGGGCCCGAAGGGACTGAGGGAAGGCCTTCACGCGGCGCGCGGGAGATGTCGCATCGCTTAAACGCAGAAGGTTTTCCAATTCGAACTCGACGGCAAATTTGGAGTTCGCTGCCAAAGGCAGCTGGGACTTCCAGAGCTTGCGCGGCTTTCTCAAAGTTCGAGAAGTGCGAGATGTTTTTTAAGAAAAAGGGTGCGCAAACAATGTTTTTTCAATCTCGCAAGTGAACAAAAAGTGTCGAGCGAATTCGAATGCAAATTCATGTGCGCCTGACACGTGTGACGCGCGAAGCACGCGCGAAGCCGATTGAAAGGCGACCGAGCCCCAGCACGCAAGCACGTGACACGCCAGTCGAGACACGCCAGTCGATCGGCAAAAACGCGAAGACTCGACGGACTCTTGCTCGGATTGCGACGCCGAAAGCTTTCATGAGGTTCAGCCAAAGGTTGTCCGTAAAACGCACATCGTCCCGCACATGGCATCTTGGCATTGATGCAGGTGCGCGAAGCTTCTCCTCGTTACAGCGGCGCAGCCTCGGGCCAGACGCAAGCTTTTCTGATTAGCGCACATAGCACGCATGTACAGATTCAACAGGTGAAATGTGTTGTCAAGATAGCAGAGCAGGTGGTTTTGTAAAGGTTCACCACTTTCGTTTGAGAGAGGTTCCAGCCTTGGCTATGTCCAGGGTCCCTCAACAGCAGCGCCAAAAGCTGGGTAGGCGAGCAGCCTCGCTGATGGGCAAGAGAGAAGCAAGCAAGTCCCTCAACTAACCCTCAAGGCCAAGATCAGAGAAACCGCGCGAAGGGCCATCGCATTGTGCTCATTCTCAAGCGGCGCTCGTTGTCCAAAACGCATGGTCTTTTCGGTGGCGTGCCATGTGCCATTCTTAGCTCTGGGCTGGCGCCGAGATCCCCGCGGTCGAAGCTCGTGCCGTCGGCTTCGAATTGATGCGATGGGGATACGTTGATGGGATTGGTTCAGCGTCAGTTTCGGGCGCCCTTTGCTCCTTTTTTCGGGTTCGCGGTTGGGCTTTGGGTGAACTCTTAGGTGTGTTTTTTGCACGCTTTAGGTTGCAGCATTGCAAGGCTTCACCAACGCTCCTTAGCGCTTGGCCGCGTGGAAGGGGCCACTGAGCAGGAGTTGCCTATCTTGAGCCCGGAAAAGACTTCGGCTGCGTGTGGCACCTGTTTCGCTGTTTACTTGCGGCGGACGTCGAGCGGGCGTTCCCTGCGGGGGAATCGTTTGGTGCCATTTGGATTTGGTCGAGGGCTCCCTTGAACGAATCCCCTAAACCCACCCGAAACCAAGCCTTGACCAATGTTGACCCCGCCATATAGCCTAAAAACCACCTTAAACCCGCTTGAAATCGCAGATTAGTTCTCACAAGCCGAGGGGGTACCATACTTAAACACAATCGCGTCCATTGACAATAGCAGAATAGCGCGTGCTCTTTCCCCGGCCTGACGAAAAGTCTTGCTCGGACCTCCGAGTTGAAACACATAGTTGACAAGAACCGCAATAGATCTATTCAGAAAGAGTAAGCTGGTAAACTCCCTCCCTGGTATGCCAAAAAAAGTCCCCGACGTGGCCAAAACCCTGCGCGACGCGAGCACACCTATCTCGCGGTCTTTTCCCACCCAAGCCCCATTCCTTTCCAACTGGGAAACGTGTTTTCCATGTGACGCAGTGTAGTCTGTGGTGCTGTAGGCATTCGGAGGCACAACAGAGCCCATGCCTGTGGCGAACACGGGCACAAACAAGTGCAGTGTATGGTTTTGCGTGTTGTGTTAATTGCTTGAGTTGCATGGGCTGTATGGGTTATCTTGAATGTGCCTTGACTTGCGGCTCTTTCGGCTTAAGCTTTCTGTGAGGTGAAGCACAGCTTTGCATGTCAGGCATGTGTTGTCACAGTCTGCTTACAGATGAGCAATTGTTTATGTAACGGGAGGCCCTGGTAGGGCTCGAGTCGGCCGTCAAATTGTTTGATCTTGCAACGAATGCCATGTTTAGCGCATGTTCTTATCAGATGCACTCACCTTTCCAGAAGCTTCAGTCAAAGAAAACATGAGCTTTAGGGGCTAAGCTTGAGCATTGCCTCGCGCTGGCGATTTGCGGCGATTTGCGGGGGTGCCTGGACTCCGGTATTGCAAGCGCATTCTGGCGCGCAGTGCAGGCGATGGGCGGAACAAGCTCACAACCGATCGATGCCACGCCGGCGAGCACCTGCCAGGGAGACTGCACGTGGCGCATGCCAGGTACGCGTCACTGACAGGAAGAGTCTCACCAAGGACTATGAATGAGTCTCACTGCTGAGTCTCACCATTGCTTTGCACTTCCGAGATCGCGATCTCGCGTCTAGGAGCTATGCCTGCGACGCAAGGACTATGAATCCATGCAGCACAGGTATTATGTGTCCTGGCGCATTGAGACGGATCAACACGGCAAGCCGCTTGCTTCAAGGTTGATGAGCTGACCAACAGTCACGAGAACAGCAGAAGCAGGAAGTTTTTCCACTTGCGAGTCGCGAGCCGCTTTGGTCTTGACCTCTGTTCATTCCACGTTACGCGTGTAGCGCGTGTAGTGTTCATTGACTCCCGAGTTGACGTTTGAGACGCAGCCACACGTGTGCTGTTATGTGCATATGTGCGGAGAGGATGGCCGAGCTGCTCCACAAGGCCGCCATCCGAGACCCGGAGATCTGCCGGGGCGGGGAAAACTCGCAGGTCTTTATGGAGGTGCGGGCGTCGCGAAGCGAAGTTTTTTGAGCTGGGTTTTGATAGGCTCCGTGGACCGGGGCGGCCCTGAGGGGTTCCACGAGGGTTCCACGAGGTTCTACAAGGGCTGCGGGTGGTGCGGGCACTAAAAAGAGCACCGTATGCTGTTGGGGATATCACCTGAGCCTATTTTTCAGTCTTCGTTTCAGTTTGTTTTGCTTAAGTTTGTTTTGGCTGAGAGACGTCTCTTGTTTGTTTTCTGTTTCGGGTCTGCCATCTCCGGGTTTCACACTTCCAACTTCCAACTCGGGCAAATCCGATGCGACTCAGCGCGAGGCCAGCATGCTGCCCTTGGTCATCTCCTTTCTCTTCGGCGGTGCTCTGATCCGCTGCTTTGAGGTGCATGTGCATGTGCTGCATGCGTATGCATGCGTATGCATGCGTATGCATCCGTATGCCCTGCATATCCCGGCGCACAGTGGCGCAGGTTTGCCCCTTGTGGTTTGTGGTCTACTATAAGACGCTGGACCAGGTTCGGACTCCGGACCATTTCGCATCGGGGTAGTTTGGGCATGCAGGTTTTCTCCAAGATCGACAAGGAGTTCAAGTCGCAGCTTGATGGCAAATCCCCGTTTGTAGGATCATAATACCTTTGTGGGCTTTCAGGTATTATGGCACGTCCTTGCACCTGGAGTATGCGCGAACGGATTGGTCACCTGTGCACGTGGCAGAGGCCGGGGTGTTTCCACAAAGTCATGGCAAGCAGACATCATGTGCTTTTCTGTCTGCTTGGAATATATTTGCCTGAGGTGTGCATATCCACAATAGACGCATTTGTCGCACTTGTATTTTCGATTCCACGTTTGTTTCTGTATTTTTTGCAGTTTCTCACCACCCTGTTGCGCATCGCCACTTCGCCGTCTCACGCCGGTGCCGTCGTTTTGTCCCAAAGGCTGCGCCGAGCCACAATTGAGTGATTAAATTTGTTTCTTCTCTCCGAAGCCACTTAGATGCAATTGCGAATTGCAGTGTTTTCTTGCCAAGTCACATCTTCGGGTTGAATTTTAGATGTATTTTTCTGACTTGAGCTGACTCGATGCACGTCATCCGCGGTCGGCCTCGAACCGTTTCCAGGATGCCTTGCGCTTTTTGTGGCCGCAGCATCTCTCCTTCATCCTTGACAACTTGAGCATGACTCCTAGAATTAGAAGGACCTTGGCGCTCTATCTTGAGATTCTGGCTCCCTATCGAGTTTATCACCATCCTGATAGTGTCCGCAAAAGCGCAATAATCCACTGCTCGGCAGGCTGGCATACGAATCGACCGGATCCTGATAGCACGGGTGACCAGCCATCACGTGAACCACTGTGCCAAGGCGGAGCTTGTTTGCATGTGGTTCCGTTTTGTGTCTTCGGCTTGCAGGTCTCTTATGGCTACGCATACAAGCTTGGAGCCGAGTGTTCCAGTGCTCATGCCTTTCGCCGCCAGCTTGCCAGTGCGAGGAGTGGGCAGCTTGCGGATGATGAGAACTTGAAGAATCGGGAGGTCTGGTGCGGCCTTAATCTCCCCATGGGCTCTGCATTGATCGCACGGCATGGCTCCTTGCAGCTTTTGGCTCACATTGAGCCGATGTTTTCTTCATGATGGCATGTGTGGAATGCATGGAATGCGCAGTTTGTGTGCGCGTGGTTTCTGCTTGGCAACCTGTCGGCCTTGGCCGACGAGACGCAGCTGAAATCGAAATCTGGGTTCACTTTCCAAAATCTTAGCGCTTGCTTCAAATGCCCCGACCCCCAATTGCAAGCAGTTGGATAACTATCCAACTCAGCTCGTTTCGCTGGAGCACACAAGCAAACAACACAAGCAAGCAAACTAGCAAGCACGGACACACACAGACGCAAGCACGGACACAGATACACTCAGAGACAGTCAGAGAAAACAGAGACACGCAGAGACACCCAGAGACACGCGCACAGACGGACAAAGCACACGTTAGGTTTCGCTTCGAAAGGGGTCCACGCTCTGGCCCCGCCGGGGATAGAAACAAACTCAGTTGCACCTCGCGGGCCCGAAGAAATTGATCAAACGCTTGGCCAGCGCATTTTGATGGTGCGCGTGCTCACAGGTATGCGTGTGTCCAGAATCCGGAGCACAAAGGTGGCTTTGACTCGGGCAAATCGCAGCTGGACAAAGCGCAGCAAGCGCTTGACAAGATGCGGATCACGGAAGACTGGGCTCTGTCCATGTGCTACTGTCGGAAGGCTTTATGGACGAGGTGAACGAGGCGATCTGTGCCGCAGCCAAGCTGTCTGAGAGGCTCTTGCAATATGTGAGCGACCGGGTGCTCGGTGACATTCTTGTACCGAAGCAAGAGAACTTGCGCTGCGCGCGCAAGTGCGGCCACTTTGCAGAGCGTGGCCTGGCTTGCGGCGTTTGTCGCAGTAACCTCTTGCCGTTGCTGGAGCTCTAAACACAAAAGCACACCCTGCGGGTCAAAAAGCGCCCACTGTGCCACGGCGCGCCACAGAAGAATTGCTTCTGGATGCAGGGAAAAGCTAGGTGGGCAAATTCCATGGCCGCCAGGACAAGACCGACCCGTTTGAGGCCAATCGGGGCACTCTTGTCAACTGCACTGAATCGCTTTGATCTGCTGTTGGGATCTGCTTGTGCCAGTGTTCCTTCAAGTTCGACACCTTCACAAGAGGCAGATCCCGGTCCTTTTGGATCCACAAGGACTCCGAACTTCCGAACTATCGGATCTGTCGGATCTGTTTCAGTCACTTTCAGTCAGCGCGGCACCGTCGGCACCTGCAGGACATTTGTCGCTTCCACGGTGACGAAACACGGGTAGCAGCCACGCAGAATATTACTCCAGTGTGCGTCAACGACCGAATTGAGGTGTCGAAGCATTTTGACTATCTCTGTAAACGGCAACGTGAAGTATTTTGATTGCGCAGATTGCTGTAAACCTCTTCAACGCTATGGGCTTGGTTGACGTGGATAGGGCACGGCGCTCAGTGTGCAGGCAGGCCAAGCTCACGAGATCTCACCCGTTGCTCATTTCTCACCACAAGGGACTTGGGGCTCAAACGCGTCCAGAATGTCAACAGCTGCGAGAGAGAGAGAGAGAGAGAGAGCGGTCTTTGGCAACGGGCTATGGCTGTGTGCCGGTTGCAGGCCCCCCCATGGCAACTAGCAAGCGTTTCGAAAACTCAGGTCCGCTGGCGTCCCATGGAGATCTTCCCAGTCCAGGTCCGTTTTTCTCCTTTCTCCAATCTCCCAACTCTCAGATTATCGGCAGGAGCGCGAGTGCCCAATCGAGCAGGAGCTCTTCGACTGGTGCGCGGTCGTGCGTCGTGCGCGGTGGATGGCATTCCGCATTCCGCTCTATGCGCTGAGGTATGACCTGGACTCCTTCCAGTCGCAGAGCGTCGAGAGGAGAGCGCCTTTGCGATGTTCGTCAGGGGCCTAGGGGCCCGAACTTCAGGTTGCAGATTCCCGATTTCTTCAGCCCGCAGCTGACGCATGTCTCTACCGAGCATGGGCCCAAAGAGAGGGAAAGAGAGAGAGAGAGAGAGAGAATAGAGAAGGAGCAAAGAAAGAAAGAAAGAAAGAAAGAAATAGAGAAGAAGAAAGAGGAGAGGGGTGACTTTTAGTGCTTGGTTCATATCGGCTCGCCAGAATTGTTACAAGCTGTTGCACACAAGGTGCATTTTATCTCGAGCAGGTACGCGGGAATCGATGTGGCTGTGAGTCGCACCAGGCTGCGGGCGGAGACCCAGGGAGCGAGCCACTCAGTCCACTCAGTGCCAATGCGCCCACGCCCACGTCACGTTATTTTTGCAGAGTGGCCTCGCAAGATCTCGCGAGGTAGTGCCCCAGGCTGACCGTATTTTGGGCTCGAGATTTGAGGCCGGACTGAGCCTCGGGACTTGCGACTCGACCACACTGACCACACGACTTGACAGGTGTTGCCCAGGAGCAGCCCGATTATCCTTCCACTGAAGCGAGTCGGTCTTCAACACGACCGCTTCACCAAGATCCAGTTGCGCCAAGGAGACTCAATCCTACTGTGCGCCTGCACTTTTGAACAAAATCAGGGGAGGTCAAACGTTCCAGACGTTTCTGGCAGGTACATCAGCCAAGGTGGCAAGATGACATGAAGAGGATTTGAGCGCAGGATTCTGACGGTTCGCATTGCTGGCTTCGCAGCTTGCGACCAGGCAGAGAAGGTGACATATGATAATCTGCTAAGCTTTACGCGCCCTTTGGCCGAAGCCGCGAAAGGACTTGCCATTGAATTCGGGGGTTGATCAGCCTTCTACAAGAATCCACGAGCTTCGAAGGCATGATCAACCCTTTTGCTCGTGACCGGGCAGGCAAGGTGAGCCCTGCACAGCGTCACAGAGTGGTGTCCCACAACACATGGTCCACTGCAAACGACACTGTGAAATTCACCTTGAGAACATGCCGAAGATTTGTTGTTGTTGTGACTGCAGATTTGTTTTTCTTCGGCAATATTCTCAAGCCTGACTCAGTGCATGTAAGAGCAAAAGGCGCGCTGTAGGAGTGCACGATTTCCTGAAATATACACGGTGCACACACACCCACCCACCCACCCACCCACCCACCCACCCACCCACCCACCCACCCACCCACCCACCCACCCACCCACCCACCCACCCACCCACCCCACCCACCCACCCACCCACGGACGCACGCACGCACGCACGCACGCCCGCCCGCCCGCCCGCCCGCCCGCCCGCCCGCCCGCCGTCCGCCGCCCGCCCGCGCCGCGCCCGCGCCCGCCCGCCGCGGGCGCGCGGCGCGCGCGCGCGCGCCCCCCCGCCCCGCCCCGCCCGCCCGCCCCCCGCCGCCCGCCGCCCGCCCGCCCGCCCGCCCGCGCCCGCCCGCCCGCCGCCCCCCCCCGCCCCGCCGCCCGCCGCCCGCGCCCGCCCGCCCGCCCGCGCCGCTCCGCCCCGCCGCCGCCGCCCCGCCCGCGCCGCCCGCCCGCACGCACGCACGCACGCACGCTACGCACGCACGCACGCACGCACGCACGCACGCACGCACGCCGCACGCACGCACGCACGCACGCACGCACGCACGCACGCACGCACAGGCACGCACGCACGCACGCACGCACGCACGCAGCACGCACGCACGCACGCACGCACGCTCACGCACGCACGCACGCACGCACGCACGCACGCACGCACGCACGCACGCACGCACGCACGCACGCCGCACGCACGCACGCACGCACGCACGCACGCACGCACGCACGCACGCACGCACGCACGCACGCGCACGCACGCACGCACGCACGCACGCACGCACGCACGCACGCACGCACGCACGCACGCACGCACGCACGCACGCGCACGCACGCAACGCACGCACGCACGGCACGCACGCACGCACGCACGCACGCACGACGCACACACGCACACACGCACACACGCACACACACGCACACACGCACACACGCACACACGCACACACGCACACACGCACACACGCACACACGCACACACGCACACACGCACAGACGCACAGACGCACAGACGCACAGGAGTCAACTTCAGAATTATCAAAGACCACTTTATCAACGGCGTTTCATTCAAGACTGCTTTTTTGCATTTTCCTTGGAGAACGATAGGGGACTCACTACAAACGATACCCCTCTCCACATGGTTTGTGAACATGATGCCTTCATTCACGTCTCAAGTGTCGTTCTGCTTGCAAGAAATGTGGAGCGTTGAGCGGCGTGAGCGGCTCACATGACTACCGCAAGGCAGATAAGGCTATTGTGTGCTTGCTTGGCTCTAATAGCTTATAGCAAAATGTGAAAGTTTTCCTCAACTTGACACACGCCCAGAACGATACCCCTGTCGATACCCCATCGATACCCCTGCACTGTCCCGGAGTTGCCAATGTGAGGCCTAGTGCATTTGCTTACAAAAGACAAGCGCACATCCTTCAGCAGACATCCTTCAGCACACACAGAAAGGGCCCTCAATGGGGAAGAGCGCTTCGTGTTCGAAAGACTACGCATGTGGTTACGATGCCAATGCTGTGTTTGCGTAGAAAGTTTGTTGGGCACGTTACGAATTCGCACGGCGCCACAGCGAGAGCGCTTGGGCACGCAGGATCCCTGCAGAGGGTTCGTCGGGCACTTTTCAACTTCGCACGGCGTCGCAGCGAGGGCGCCTTGACACGTGCAATCCTCGCAGAGGGTTCGTGTAGCACGTTACGAATTCGCACGGCGCCACAGCGAGAGCGCTTGGGCAGGCAGGATCCCTGCAGAGGGTTTGGCGGGCACTTTTCAGATTCGCACGGCGTTTGACACGCGCAATCCTCGCAGAGGGTTGGTTGTGCACTTTACGCATTCGCACGGCGCCACAGCGAGAGCGAATCGAGGCGCGCGATCCCCGCAGAGGGTTCATCGGGCACTGCACGCACGCGCGAAACGTGGAGAACGATAGGGGGCTCACTAAAAGTAGAATGAATACACCCCACACAGCAAATATTGACGCTGGCTCTAATAATGACAGACGCACAGACGCACAGACGCACAGACGCACAGACGCACAGACGCACAGACGCACAGACGCACAGACGCACAGGCGCACAGACGCACAGACGCACAGACGCACAGACGCACAGACGCACAGACGCACAGACGCACAGACGCACAGCGCACACGCGCACACGCGCACACGCGCACACGCGCACACGCGCACACGCGCACACGCGCACACGCGCACACGCGCACACGCGCACACGCGCACACGCGCACACGC